TATTTATTTATTTATTTATTTATTTATTTATTTATTTATTTATTTATTTATTTATTTATTTATTAATAAAGAAAGGAAAAGGAGACACTTCCCCCCTATAATAATAATAATAATAGTAAATAAGGGGAGACAGACAGTACAAATAGTGCTGCTGCTGCTGCCCAACTGCTGCTGCTGCTGCTGCCCAACTGCTGCTGCTGCTGCTGCTGCTACTGCTCCTTTTTTTGTTGCTGTTGCTCCTCCTCCTCCTATTGTTGCTGGTACTGCAGCAGATACAGGAGCAGCAGCAGCAGCAGCAGCAGCAGCAGCAGCAGATGCTGCAGATGCAGCAGCAGTGTAAGGGAGACTCCTGCTGCTAAAAGGAGACACTTTATTAATTCTTTTTTTCCTTTGCTGCTGTCATTAATTGCTGCCTACCCCTAAACCCTAAACCCTAAACCCTAAACCCTAAACCCTAAACCCTAAACCCTAAACCCTAAACCCTTATTGGAGACACCAAGAAAAAACTGCATGCGCCGTCTCCCCTTCATATCAGCTGCAATAAAGCCCCAAAATGCATGCAGCAAATGCATACAATAAACCATCATATGCATGCAATAAAGCCCCAAGAAGAGGTACATGCATTCTTTCCTTTTCCTGTCTCTATAGGAAGGAGACAACTTGCTGCAGTGAATAAATTTATTTATTTATTTATTTATTTATTTATTTATTTATTTATTTATTTATTTATTTATTTTTTATTATTTATTTTGTGGCGTCTGCGCAGACACCCCAGAAGATACGCTATTTATTGGCTCTCTTGCATGCATGCATGCATGCATGCAGTTGGGGTGTATAGGCAGCTTGTTATATTCTTATTTAATTAAATTTATTTAATTAAATAAATTATGTATGCATGTATGTATGCATGCATGCATGCATACATACATGGATGCTTGCATGCAAGTATTATATAGGGGTACTATACTAATTAATTTAATTAATTTTTATTTAATTAAATTAATTAATTAATTAATTAATTAATTAATTAATTAATTAATTAATTAATTAATTAATTAATTGTCTTAATAAAGAATATTATAATAAAGCCCCATTTAATAGCTGCATGCATGCATGCATGCATGCAGATGTTTAGGTGTATATTATTAATAGGTTATTAATAAATAGGTATTAATTATACCCTTTCTTGTTTATTTAATTAATAAAAAAGATTTAATTAATTAATTAATTAGTTAAATTAATTAATTAAATATATAAATAAATTAATTAAATATATAAATATATAAATAAAAGGAAGAAAAAGGAGAAAAAAGAAAAAAAAGAATTATATACATAAGTATACGTATATATGTATATGTATATGTATATGTATATATATAAGACATATAATTATATACTAAATAAATAAATAAATAAATAAATAAATAAATAAATAAATAAATAAATAGATAATAAAAAATAAATAAATAAAATAAATAAAAGATAAATATATTTATTTATTTATTATTTATACAAGAAAATACATATTAATAAAGAAAAAAAAAAAGGTGACTACTAGCTGCCTATACACCCCAATTAGTTTGGGGCTTTTTTTTATTGCATGCGTTTTTTATTTTCTTCTTTTTATCAATAAATAAAAAATAAATAATAAAAATAATTTATTTATTTAATTTATTTATTTATTTAATACTTTTTTTCCTTCAGCAGTATTACTTTTGCTGCAGCGGCTGCTGCTGCTGCTGCGGCTGCTGCTGCTGCTGCCACCGCTGCTGCTGCTGCTGCTGCTGCTGCTAAAGCAGCAGATATAATATTAATTTCTTTTTATATAAAAATGTTATGAATAATGATAGCAGCAAACACTGCAACAAACTCCCCTGCTGCTGCTGCAGCAGCAGGAGCAGGAGCTCCTGCTGCAGCAGGACCACCAGCAGCAGGAGTACCACCAGCAGCCGCAGTACCACCAGCAGCAGCAGGATCAACAGCAGCAGCAGCAACACCTCCAGCAGCAACAGCAGCAGCAGCAACAGCAGCAGCAGGAGGCTCCACGTCCCCAGACTCACGACCGCCAGCTGCAGCAGAACAACAACAACAGCAGCAGCAACAGCAACAACAACAACAACCAGCAGCAGCAGCAGCAGCATCACAACCACCACCATCAACAACAGCAGCAGGAGCAGCAGAATCTCCAGCAGCAGGAGGAGCAGCAGCAGCAGGACTACTAGTAGAGGAGCCAATAACATATGTGTCTCCTTTTGTGTCCTCTCCTTCTTATTTTTATGGTGATTTGCTGCAGCGCAGCATAAGTTGGTTGCTGCTGCATCGTGGTGTATATACAGCAGATGCAGCAGCAATAGAGATAAGTTGTTGCTGGTTTGCTGCTGTGCTGCAGCAAATAGGGCAGCAAGCTGCTGTATTTGCTGCACTAAGGGGGACAGCAGCAGCAAATTATATAGATATAAAACAAGCAATTAAATTTATTTGTCCCTCTGCTTATTGTCTCCTTTTTCTTGCTGCTGCTGATCCTGTTGCTCCTTCTCTCCCTATACAATTACCTATACAGCAGCAGCAGCAGCAGCAGCAGCAGCAGCAGTTGCAGTTGCAGTTGCAGTTGCTGCAGCAGCAGGGGGAGGGGGAAGAGCAGCTGCAGCTGCAGCTGCAGCAGCAGCAGCAGCAGCAGAGACAGCAGCAGCAAGGGGTACTATTAACATGCGAGGAATCATGGCTTGTGCAGCAACTTAAGCAGCAGCAACTTGCTGCTAAGGATAGCAGCAGCAGCAGCAGCAGCAGCAGCAGCAAAGAGCAGCAGCAGCAGCAACAACAAAGACCACCACATATTCCTGATTATTTACCTTCTTTTCCTCCTTCTTATACATATCTAAGAACGGAGACACCATGGGGAGGAGACACAGAGGATGCAGCAGCAGCAGGAGCAGCAGGAGCAGCAGCAGCAGCAGCAACTGCAGCAGAACAACTTAGAAAAATGAGGAGACTTGAGCTGCAGCTGCAGCTGCCACAGCTGCAGCTAGCTGAACCTACTATTGACTGCAGCAGCAGCAGCAGCAGCAGCAGCAGCTGTAGCAGCAGTAGCTACTGCAGCAGCAGCAACCCTACAGATACACTGTGGGGTGTACCCTCAGCTCATGAGATACACATGCAGCAGCAGAAAGAGGAACAAGAGCTGCTGCAAGAGCAGCAGCAACAGCAGCAGCAACAGCAGCAGCAGCAGCAGCAGCAGCAACCTGCTGCTGCTGCTGCTGCTCGTAAGATACGTAAAGCAGAACTAATAGGAGGAGACAGACCTACACAAAATTTATATCTTATTTAATTCTTTTTTTCTTCTTATTTATTTATTTATTTATTTATTTATTTATTTATTTATTTATTTTATTTATATTTAATTTATTTATTTAATTAAATAAAAAAAAAGTAAATTTATTTTTTTGTTGTGTAAGACACAAAAACACTCTCGCTGCTGCAGCAGCAGCAGCAGCAGCAGCAGCAGCAACAGCAGCAGCAGCAGCAGCAGCAGCAATAAGTCTAAATAATATAGCAGAATAAGGAGCAGCAAGAGACGGTGTATGCATGCATGCATGCATGCATGCATAGCGAGCCCACCACAACACTGGTGCTGCTGGTGCTGCTGTTACTCTTGGTGCTGCTGTTACTCTTGCTGCTGCTGTTACTCTTGCTGCTGCTGCTGCTGCTGCTGCTGTTGCTGCATGCGTTGTAAGAATAATTTATATTTAGTTATAGCAATATGTTTAGCAGCAGAAGAGAAACCTTCAGGTAATGTATCTATTTTGCATGCAGGTATACCTGCATATACACCATAAGAAGAAAGGAGACAATCATGAGGAATAATTGTCTCTTTTTTTATTATACAATTATTATTTATTATACATCTATTATTTATTATACAATTATCCTCTATTATACAATTATCTCCTATCTTTCCTCCTTTTATATAACAATTATTACCTATTATACAATTATCTCCAATAGATAAGGAGACATAATGGGGTAATAAGCAGCAACTCCTCCTGCTGCTGCTGCTGCTGCTGCTGCTGCTGCTGCTGCTGCTGCTGTTGCTGCTGCTGTTTTTTTTTTTGTTTTTTTCCTCCTCCTCCTTGTTGTTGTTGTTGTTGTTATTTTCTATACTATTATTATTATTATTATTATTATTATTATTATTATTATTATTATTATTATTGCTGCTGCTGCTGCTGCTGCTGCTGCTGCTGCTGCTGCTGCTGCTGCAGCATAATTTACAGCAGCAACAAGGTTGTATAATAGTATTTTTTCCTATATATACATATTTACCTATTTTTATATTATTTAATTGTCCTTTTATTAATAAAAAAGAAGAAAAAATACAATAACCATAAACAATTATATTATTACTATTTATTATCCTTGTTTTTTTATTTATTATATTACCTCCTCCTGTTATTATATATTCTTCCTTATTTATTTTATTTATTTCTTCTTTTTTTTCTCCTTTTTTTTCTCCTTTTTTCTTCTTCTCCTCCTCCTCTTCCTCTTCTTCCTCTTCTTCTTCTTCCTTATTAGGGTTTAGAGGGTTTAGGGTGTATACACCCGAAGAAAATAGATCATATACACGATTACGCATGCATGCTATTGCTCTTGTTCTTGATTCTGCTGCTGTTGCTGCTGCTGCTGCTGCTGCTGTTGCTGCTGCTGTTTCTCCTGCTGCTGCTGCTGCTGCTGCTGCTGCTGCTGATGTATCCTCCCTTTTTATATCGATAGAAGAAGACATCTTCAATAAGATAAACCCTAAACCCTAATTAACAATAATAAACCCTAATTAATAATAATAAACCCTAATTAATAATAATAAACCCTAATTAATAATAATAAACCCTAATTAACAATAATAAACCCTAAATAAGGGAATAAAGAAAGAGGGAAAAAAAACAATTAAAAATAATATATATATGTATAAGGAATATAAACCCTAAACCCTAAACCCTCATAAACCCTAAACCCTCATAAACCCTAAACCCTCATAAACCCTAGACCCTTGTTAACCCTAAACCCTAGTTAGAATTAATGAGGAAACCCTAATACAGAGGAAGAGATAGAAAATAAAGGATAAACCCTAGACAGATATCTCTCGAGGGTCTAGGGTTTATTATTAGGGTTTAGGGTTTAGGGTTTAGGGTGTATACGGAGCTGCAGCAGCAGCAGCAGCAGGAGGGCTTACTGTAGGGTTTTATATTTACATATAAAATAATTAAATAATAAATAAATGAATAAATAAATAAATAAAATAAATAAATAAATAAAATAAATAAAAGAAAAAAAGAATTAAAAAAAAAAAAAAAAAGGGAGAAGGGGGGCCCCCCTT